GAAATTTTGTATGTAGACACCTCGAATGAAGGTAACACTAATGCCAAATCAAATAAATGTGTTTTACGCATGCGCAATCTGACCCACATTCGTTATTTGTAAACCAATTCTTCTAAAATGTTCGGGTAGGATTATTCATATATTATACACTGAAATTGAAGTAGCACGTCAAAAATGGATTGCACATGTGCAATCGAGTGTGCAACGCTATTTTTCTTATTTGTGGCCGGATTTTTACGAAATTTTAACAGAAGTTGCATCTTACAAATGGGAAATGAATGCAAGTGGAAATGCGCTTTTTGTAAATCGTTAACAAGTACTTCTTTTAATTAATTTATTTTTATGTTATTGCCTTTATTTTATAGTGGGCGGACCTCGGGGCGAACGTAAACTCATCTGAGCTACGCAGGTCGGCAAACTTGTTATTTTAGCATTGGAAATGCCGAGGGAAATGCTTATGTTTTGTATGGGTATGAATTTACCAGGTTTCGCGAGTAGAAAAGAAGACAAGTGGTGTCGCGTCTAGTGTTGATTGTACCGTACTCGACTGCAATCGATAGATTCAGGAAAAGTCGCGGATACTGTCTATACGGTACTTACTTAACAGTCCGCAGGGGTTTTGTTAATTCGAATTTAAATTTCTCGCACATCGCCCGTGATAGTACTACAAGGATGTAATAATAATAATAATATTCCTTTATTTAATAACTGCAGTAGCCATATAACAAATGAGACAGTTACGATTAAAAAAGCAATTAAAGAGAATTGTAAAAATTTGATTAAAAAACAAATTATTAAAGAAAGAAGAAAAAATTAGTGTAAAGAGAAAAACAAATAAAATAAATTAAATGCTAAATATGAACTACTACAGTTTTAAACCGTAAGGTGGGATTCAGATCAACGTCTGCTTTTCAATCCGACCTCAATATATATCAACAAACAAAATCAAAGTCGCAAGTAAATGTTCTTCTGGAAAACGCATTGTAAAAATTAATATCTATCTGAATATGTTATTCCATCTAGTAGTGACAAGCTAGTTTACCTTCCAAATGTAGATTGTTCATTAAACAAAAAATCTTTATATTTACAATTCAAAAACTTCACAGGTTGGGTAAGCTATTGTAAATCCATTAAAAGAAAACGATCTCTCAAAAAAGGTTGTGCTGTGTGAGGGAGGGGTCCGTGGAGGGGTCATTTTACCTTGAAATCTTAAGTTTAAATTATGCACATTGCAGCGGTAGGTGATTTTATTAGATAGATAAGGAGGTACTTTGGTTAAAATTAACTTATGGTAAAAAGTAGTAGCATGAAGCTTACGCCTTTTAACCAGAGACAATCAGTGAGCTTGTGGGATATGTCTTTCGCAACCAGTAAATAAATCTAAGACATGAATTCTGTACCCTCTGTATTTTATTTTTTCGTTTTAGACTTATCGCCAAGGTCTTCTATGGAGATAGAGAAGCTTAAGACCCATGTAAGATTTTTGCACGCATTTTGATATATACTCCTTATATCTCATGTTATTATCCATTATTAGTCCTAAGTTTTTAGCTCTGTCTAACACTGGAATGCAAATGTCATTCAACGTCAGATTTATTATTGGTTTACATATTTCACATTTTGATTTATTACCAAATATCATTACACCGGATTTAGTAGGATTCAGTATTAATCCAGACTAGATCTTGTGAAACCTTGCTAAGACTCTCTTGAAAAGCGTCGGGACTGAATGAGTAATAAAGCTGAATGTCATCAACATACATTTGAATTTTGCAGTGGTGGATGCTGTTAGGGAACATAGAGGTGTAAATCTGAAATAATAGTGGGCCCAGAATTGATCCTTGCGGAACTCCCTTTGACAAAATGTGGGCCTCAGAACGTTTTTGATTGATGACAACACTTTGAGTTCTATGATCTAAGTAGGACGATCTCGAGGACGATATTAAGTCAACTTAGTTAGTTGTAAATCCACAGCATTTTATATAGCAAAAAGTAATTCGTGGCTAATAGAATCAAATGCCTTACTGAAATCTAGCAGAACAAGTAAAGTTAGTTTACCTTTATCAGTTGACGATATGATATCATATGTTATGTTGAGTAATATGGTAGTACCTCGAGTAGTACAGCTATGATTGAGCCTAAACTCCGACTGACAATGTGGTAATAAATTATACTGTTCTACAAGCTCACAAATTTGCTGGTAACTAATTTTTTCCAGTATTTTGAAACATGCAGGCAGTAAACTGATAGGTCGCATATCGTTAAACGATTGTACTTCCTTAAACTTTGGAATAGGCAAAACATTTGCTTGCTTCCATGCTTCTGGATATATGCCCCCTAAAATGCAACTATTGAATATGTTTGTCAAGAATGGTATTATATATGGACAGCACAATCGAATCATTTCTATATTGATACCATCAGACCCTAAAGCGTTACTTTTAATGCTTCGAATAACATCAGAAACCATATTTTCGCTAACTGTCCTAAATTGAAGTGGCGGAGTACCTTTAGGTAAATTCTCATAACATTGAAATTGTTTTAATGGGATATTGATACATGGTACTTTATTGACAAAGAATGTATTAATGTCCTCAGGATTATTGAGATGCTCTGGTATCACTGACTGTGGATGCGAATGGAGGCTTAACAGTTTCAATTTATTCCAGAGTTTCCTTTTATTCGCATCTTTAAGGATGTGATTGAAATACGCCTTTTTTTCGCAATTACATATATAAGTGGTACTCGAAGTGGTACAATTGCGTAAATGCTTGTAATTGTCCCAGTCTGCTGAGAATTTGGATTGAAGAAACCTCCTTTTAAACTTGTCTCTTTCACGCATTAGAATTTTTACATTGTCGGTTATCCAAGGTTTAGGTACGCCGCTTATTATTCAGAAAGTTTACGTTTGCGACACGAGCGAGTTTGCAAGCGAGTGGAGCAAGATTATTCCGTGTGAATAAGGATTATTTATGGCTGTATAGGTTATAGGGTTATCATTTCCAATGTCTCCGATGGTTGCAAGGATGGCGAATCTCTGAATTTTTTCTAGTACCCTCGCTAGTACCTACCTATTTCTTCAAAACTTGCGGATGGTAACTTGTAACTCCGTCCGTTGATGTGGTTTCTGAATCATTATCAGGTGGACATTTTCTGGATGTACTTGGTTTATACTCTTATTTTCATAAATTAAAATAGCATAAATGTTTGGGAAGTTTTATAAGATAATGAGAAATTTTGACCTAAATTCAGTACACTCTTAGTAATCTATGTAAATGGTGTACAACAATCTCCGAAGTGGTCAACCCCTTGTCATAAAGCTAACACCCGGAATCGCCAGCTGAACAACATCTACACAATTTAAATTTTCCACCCTTGCCTTTATTAGTATGCTGACCAATAGCGATTAGCATATTTTTGGCAGAGAGTTAGTATTTTTACCGTATACAAACAGACGGATCGACATATAACTTGGTCCCTTTTGATTCTATTTGGCCTTTGGCGTAACATTTCCTAGATTTTCTTTCCCTATGTCCCATAATTTGATACATTCATGACAAATTTGGTATGTTTACTCCCGAGTTTACTCCGCAATTTTCTACAGCTACATTTACCACTCAAATAGATCGTGTACGTCTCGGTGTACGTTTCAAAATATATCGGAGCTTTTTAGTATTGTGTGTTGCCTACGTTGGACAAAAATAGGAAGTGTTTTCGAGAAATTTTGATTTATTTCAAGACAATGCGACAGTTAGTTGAAACCGACCTACACTAGAATTAAGCTAATCCTTTACATATCAGCGACCAATTTCTCCAATCGCATTTTCCACACTCCGCGTACCATTTACTAACCTCGATCTGATAAAATAGCTGTCTTGTTAGGCATGTTTTTGAGGGAGCTAAAAATGACGTGGACTGTTCAATTGCAACCTTATGTTAACATTTTTTATCAGCCTTGGTCAATATCGGTTCGATAGCAGAGTACATAATAGCAGTGATTAAAATATAAAGGGTGTTTTGAGAAAACAAAAATGTGTGTTGACTATTGCGTAATCCAAAATCAATGCAACAGATAGATTGTACATATAAAAAACGCCAAGAGAGGAAAATTCTGAATTAAAGTGATAAATAATATCTTGCTTCGCAGAATTCCCCTTTATTCCGGGGGTTAATCCATCATAAATTAAGATAATATTAGCTTGGAAAGTATTATACATTTTGATTAAAGACAAACGAGAAACTTACCCTTTTAACTTGAAAGTTATCCGGTCGCAAAGTTTCCTGGATTTCTTGGTCTGGTTTAGTTGGCTGTACAACGGATGTACGAAAATTGTCCAAAACGCCTTTAAACGTAAACTTCTTCATGACTGGTGAGAGTCCTTATCGCGTTTCGTCACACCATAACATTAACCAGAAAGTTAGTAAATGCGATAACAATGGAAAGTAATCGATTTCTCAGTTTCTAATTTTGCTTTAATTCATGAATCTACTGCCGGCATCTAAATTTAAAAATCACATTATCTGCCACAAACGTACTGAATTTGATGCCAAGGCCGCTCTCATAAATCGCACCGTAAGGTACGAACCTTTTGCAATGCGCTAGTGCCTGGAACTCCAGCAAGATACGTTAATATGAGAGAATCACGTTTAGTCACTCGTGCTATTCTCACCAACCTACGGTGTTGACGTTCAAATATCAATAATAGAACCTCTGCGCTTTATTCTGCACAACTTCTGTTATGCGCTATGGAAAAACCGATATCGCGCAAGCGAAATTCTCTAATCTCGCCTGTCGTTTTACGTTTTAATCAAAATTTAAACAACCGTTCTCCCGCTAATTAAAAATATATTTCTATAAATCGAATTATTTATAAAATTAAACACTAGTCACAGATCAATACATTTATAAAACACATGTTGCATTTGCGTAAATCCACCCCAGACTACACGGATCACATCTCTGTTCAACCTAATTCGTTTCCACAACTAAAACGCGACAGTAGATGATAACGTGGAGTACATGATTGGAGGTTATATCAGCAACAGCTGATTTTGACAGCATTGGTATACTACTTAACCTGTTTATTCGAATAGATTACTGCAACGTTTGCCTAAATAAGGGGAAAGAAAGAATATGGTTTTCAAAAGAATAAATGCTATATGCTCGTTAATATTGTATCAACGAAGAGATTATTATAATAAATTTCGGTAAGTAGGCTCCCGATAATTAGCATTTTACATCTTTCCATGGTCATTATCCTTAAGGTTATTAGGAGGGTTATTACATGTGAACCAATGATGTGTGTGTGTGTTTAAAACTGCTGAATGTCAACCTATCCTCTCAAGACTGTTAAACTGAAATTAATTCTGTTTTTCATTTCATCAATGGGTTTTGATTTAGAATCGAGTGACTTAATCATACTTACTTCAATCGCTAGGTATAAAACGACTATCCTTAGTGTGATAAACCGTGTGAGGCAGTTTATCAGATTAGACCTGAAAGGTCTTGTTGTCGTGAAATTAGTATCCACCTAAATTGTCTTCAGCTTTTTGCTTATTGTAGGGGCATGGTCACGGGGATAGTGCCGTATACTTTGCAGTTAATATTAACAAAAAATTTGTGTAAACGTATTTTACCAAGCCAAACCTCAGATTGCACAAAACTTTTTAATACAGGAGTATCCATTCGAGCGTAAAAGTCTTATTTTATTCAAATTGCACTGGATCACTGTAGGGGGGCCACAACCCTAAGACAATAACATACAAGGAAATTATATCGACATTCTAAAAAACAAAGCAAACTACACAAACTTGATTGACTTTCTTCACCAAACTACCCTACTTAATGAAATATAAAGTAAGAAACATATATGTAATTTAGAACCCCTCACAGTAGTACGCTAATGATCATGGCAATCGATGCGTACACTGCTAAGAGTGTATATAATAGGAAATAATAATAATAATAATAATAAGTCATTTATTTGTACATAAAAAACAACCAAATATCTTTCACTTTAAACTTACATAATTAATATACTACAAATAAATGTATAAAATCTAGGGAGTTTCATTCACACAAACATGGGTACATTGGACATTAAAAAGAAAAAAAAAATAATATATCAGCACTGAATTCATACCTGCAGCAGATATCTAAGTTTAATACTTGTTAATACCTTCTGTCAGGTGCAAGGTGAATAACTTGATAAGAGAATTTAATAAAAAGAAAAAGAAAATTAAAAAAAAATACGAATCAAAATAAAAATAAATAAGATGGGAAAGATGATAAGTAACAAAGGACTAATAGTTAAATTAAATTTGAACTAAAAGAATGTTTCGAACCTCTTGTATACTCATTGAAGCACAAATTTTTATTTTTTTTTCAAGTCAATAGATTATAGTAGCCTATCAAAAATGTTTTAATGTGATGTACAGGGTGGTTCAAATTCTTGGCTCCGAGATGTCAACGAAAAACGGAAAATGTTAAATTTCGTTTTTATCATCCCTAGCTTAAACGTTCACAAATTGACAGTTCACGTTTTATGGGCACTTATTTATGGTAAATCAGAATTGCCCTAACACGCTAAATATAGAAGCTATACAGGCTACTGTTTTCTTATTTCTTATGGACGCTGTGGAGGACGCCGTATTGGATTTTCATGGAATGAAATAAGTAGAGGACAAAAGGAAATTAGTATATTTTAAGACAAGTGAAAGTAATTATCAAAAACTACAGGAAACTTTAGCATTAATATGTCTTAAGTTGACAACATCTTTTACGTTGACAATTCAACTCATGTATAAAAAATCGCATAAGCCGCAGTGAAATTGTCACTTTGACAGCGGCAAAAGTTACCTGCAACTTTTCCAGCGACAAATGCACTAGTGGTTTTTTCACTTATTCATTTTCGAACCAATTATCGCATTATCCTTTCCCATATGACTAGTTTGACGTCTGTCAATAATTGATTAGTTTGGTGAATTTCTTGTTCGTTAAATTGTCCTGCCGAATTACACTCGAGGTTTGTATTTAAACCGAGTAAATTTGGGTTGTGGCAATTCAAATCTGTTTCCTTTTAGCAATTGGACTCGAAAAACTGTCAACCTAAAAATGCTCCACCTGCGGTGTCGCATTTTTATTAGTTGACAGTTTTTCTCGTCTAATTGCTAGGCAACAGATTTTCATTACCTAAACAACCCAAATTTACTCGGTAAAATACAAACCTCTTGTGCAATTATAAGTGATAAATTTGAAGTTGACAGCTTAGACGCAACACTCACATATAGAAACTTTAAATTCCGTCGATGTGCCTAAATTTATTTATGGTGGATGTGTAACGAACGTCCATGTACCTACTCCCTCTGCAAGACGGTAAGCCTCATAGGTTAAGTACCTCCACCTTTCCTAGGTAACATCTAAAACTAGAAATAACAATGATATTACTTTTATTGTTAACTTATCTACACATGACACGAATATCTACAAATCTTACAAGAAAACACTGCTTAATATCACAATGGAATACACCGATCTATTGAACATATTGCTTACGTAAGTAGTTAAGTACTATAGGTACCTAACGATCACACATCTTTTTATAGTAAAAATTTCATATACAGTTAACCCGTTTTAAGGGGGAAGGTTGCAATTCGAAGTTGAGTTAGATGTCCATAATGTTAATCCGTGCATTCTATAGATATTATCTGAAGTAATCGGTGGTTTGCTGTACTAACGGTTAGCTAGATAATGCCCGGAAAATAGGGGTACCCTTGCATAAATTCCCAAGAAGCTGAAAATTCACATGAACGTTAGGGATACCATTATAAAGAAATTGTGAAAAGTCCCCATCGATCCCATGTGTGCAAAAAATTTTATTCAAGGTCAAAGTTTGCGAAAATGGGTTTTCTCTATACTATGCACACGTTTCCACGCCACCTGTGAGGTAGTGTACTTGATGCGTTTTTTAACGTGGTTTCCCCAGTAGGTCTACTCCAGGGCCTATTTTATTTAATCCTAGTAGAATAATAGGTCTTCTCATTCAATTTACCTATTCTTCTTTTTTGATATCTCCTTCTTCATAAACTTCTTGTTTTTCTGTATGCGCGTACATGTTTGTCGTGATGTTCGATCGTGTGTTTCCAGCTTAAATAGTAATGTCAGTTTAAGTTAAGATTCTCGTTCAAAACGACGGCGTAGATAGATGATTGTTTAAAACTCTAAAGAAGAAGCCATGAGGAAACTACTGCCTCCCAAGTTTAAAAAGATATATGGAAAACGGTACAATAAGTATAAAATCTGGTGCACGAAACTAATAGTACATACCGCAAATCAAAAGCATTGAACCATGGTCGTGGTTGTGGTTACTTGCGGTACAGGTTGATTTAGTCGGGAGTACAAAAAATAATGAATTGCATTTCTTTGTAGACACCATGCGTTATTTATCGGAGCTGCTGTCCCCTTCTTTACTCAGAGTGATAGTAATGACACATCAAATTTTATGGCAAGCCCAATAACTCCAATGGAACAATTACAATCCAATCCGACAGATATGAAAACGCGCATGGAGCTTATGATTATGAAAGTGCAGGCGGAGTTTTGTAAAGCTTTGGAAAAGGAGGAAAATAGTTCACACAAATTTCTCGTCGATAAATGGCAGCGAAAGGAGGGTGGTGGTGGTATCACCTGCATTCTGCAAGATGGCAAAGTTTTGGAGAAAGCGGGTGTCAACATATCGGTAGTATCGGGACATTTACCTCCCGCTGCTGTGAGTCAAATGAGGTCGAGAGGGAAACAGCTAAGTGAAGGTCAACTCCCTTTTTTTGCGGCTGGAATAAGTGCAGTTATACATCCGCGGAATCCACATGTGCCTACGATTCATTTTAATTACCGCTATTTCGAAGTGCAAGATGGCACAAATGTCCAATGGTGGTTTGGTGGTGGTACCGATTTAACACCATACTATTTGAATAACGACGACGCAATTCATTTTCATAAAACGTTAAAGGAAGCCTGTGACAGACATAGTAATACGTATTATCCAAAGTTCAAGAAATGGTGTGACAATTATTTCGATATACCACATAGAGGAGAGCGGCGTGGTGTTGGGGGAATATTTTTCGACGATTTAGATGAGCCCAATCAACATAAAGTTTTTGGTTTTGTAACTTCTTGCGCTAATGCGGTGATTCCATCATATATGCCTTTAGGTGAGTTATTTAGCAGTTATCAATGCAATCTGTAATTGATACATGTTCAGTTGCTAAGCACAAAGATGAGAAGTACTCTGAAAAGGAACGACAATGGCAGTTATTACGAAGAGGACGATATGTTGAGTTTAATTTGGTGTATGATAGAGGCACAAAGTTTGGATTACAGACACCTGGTGCGAGGTATGAAAGCATTATGATGTCACTTCCTCTTGAAGCTGTAAGTTGTCATGTTTTGATTTTGTAAAAATTACAATTATATTTTAGAGATGGGAGTACATGCACGAGCCTGATCAAGATTCGAGAGAGTATAAACTTCTAGAGGTACTCAGAACACCTAAAGATTGGGTATAACTTGTTATATTAATGATAAATTGTTAACTGTGCAATTATATTTTTTGTAACGTTTTTATACAGTAATTGCAGGAAAACTTTTTTTAATAAACAATTTAACTAAATACCTAAGATTTATTCTGTAGAAGCAACATTGCTAACTCTTCGGCTTCATTAACAGATAACGATTTAGTTTGTTTAAGCGCTTTCTTTTTCTTCTTTGAACTGGGAACATCTGCTGTGCGGGAGGTTTTCCTTTTAAATCTGAAATTAAACAACACATATTAGTTCCAACGTATGTTGTCGTTTGCAAATGTTTGAAAGGTGTATCTTAAACCTGGAACCAAGGTTGTGAAGAAATGGTTAAATAAATCTTCCCAACAAATATTTAGCAAATGATAAAGCTACTGGTTTAGACCACTGGGTATAATGGTATAATAAAACGGGTGAACAAAATGCTGCTAAAGTTGTGAAGCAAAACATAGTCGATTTGATGGACAACAGAAAGGTCAAAGATAAGTTGCAGCTTCTGCACTTGCACTTGCGGCTTCTACTGCTATTATGAAAAACAAGTTCGCATGCAAATAGCTGAAAACACACGAACATGAAAACAGATACAAAACATATAGTCCAGTCAAATTAGCGCAATTTTGGACAAATAAAAACATTAATTGGTAAAGATCTGAATTTTGGTATACACATTTATTTGAACTTTCTATTGAACATACTAAAAGTATTTGTCAAAATCTGTTGCGCTCGAGCCGCCATCTTGGAATAATGGTACACTTTTTCAGTTTTTTGCCCATATCTTGGTAGCTATTACTGATACGAAAAATAGTTTAGATGAAAAATATAGTTTACTAAATTCCCTATAAAAAAGAGTATTTACATTTTTTTTGTATCTCCAATACTTTAGCTGTAATCTGATGTTGAATATGTCAGAACGCGTTTAGGCCCCGTTTCGTAGTTGTAAGGAGGCCGTTTTTTATGACTACACCGATGGCTGCAACCACCAAAAAATGAACAGCATCGTCGTGCGATACAGCATTCTAGTACTGACATAATGTTCATAATACTTATTAAAGCTTTTGGGTAACGATAAAAACAAATCTCGATTGATATCAATGATATGGCAGAGATTTTGAAATGAAGGGTTTGAGCTCAGACAAGCTGAAGATGATGCTGATATCCTTATCGTCAAGATGGGAATAGAATTATCTCTGGCTGCAAATGTTGTCATTGTTGCTGCAGATATTGATCGCCTTGTTCTACTAACTGCATTCACCCCGCAGGACAATAATATGTTTTTCAAGAAACCACGAAAGGGAAAAACTGAGCGAAAAATATATTTCTCGGGTATCTTGCAATCACATGAAGGGACTCAGGATTACACTTTGTTTGCACATGCCTTCACTGGGTGTGATACGACATCAATAAATTTAATGATTTGTCATTCATTCATAATCTTTACCGATCATAGAGCTGTAAAAAATATCTGCGCGACTGTTTCGAGAGCTCAGGATACTTTATTTCCTATTCGATGTCGGATTATAGCTAAAGTTTTGGACATACAAAAAAATGTTAATATGCTTTTTTATGCGCAATTTAATCAACTATATTTTTTATCTAAACTATTTTTCTGTATCAGTAATTATTGACGATATATAGGCAAGAAACTGAAAAAGTGCACCTTTTTTCCAAGATAGCGCCTCGAGCGCAGAGATTTTGACGGGGACTTTTAGTATGTCCAATGGGGAACACTAATAAACATGTGTACCAAAATTCAGATCTTTACCGATTAATGTTTTTATTTTTTCTTATTTGACTGGGCTAATATTTTATAAAATATAAATTATAAGCAATTTAATTTCGTACAAACTGACCTTATATGTTGATTTGTTACCCAAATAAATTCCACTGTCATAAAACCGCCGATATATCCTTTTTCCTTGAATGCCCAGGTATCTGCATGGTCGACTTGACCCCCTTTCTTGCACATGCAGAGAACTTTCTCACCTGACAAAAGCGTTTCCCATATAATTGATCTCAATATTATTACCTCCTCATTTAATTAATTTATAAATGATTAGAAAAAGTAAATTAAACGCAAAAAAAAATATTACGCACATTTCTTATTTGTTATTAAAACCACGTGTCAAAAAGCGCATGCGCATGAGCAAACACTATTTTGTTATTTGTGGACCCTTTGTATGAAATTTTAACTAAAAATGCTTCTTACAAAAGCGAATTGAGATCATACTCTTGTTAGTTGTGGGAAGATTTTTCCTAAATTTTAACAGAAAGTGCTTTTCAAATAGCGGTTTGTCATAATTTTATTTAAACAAATGTGGCTCAGTGAATGTCCAAGGTGGTTCAAATTCGTGGCTCACCATTGGGATCTCGGTAACAGCGAAAGATACAGTGTAGGTGTTTCTCAAACTTTTTTGTCTGGTGGCACACTAAAATTATTAACCCTTCCGGTCTGGTGTTCTGATAAATCACGTACTCACCACAGTGGGGTAACGCAGTTATACTATCAAGCTTATTTAGTTTAGGCTATTTAACGTCAGTTTCCTTAAAATGCCATATATTTCACGTAAAATTGACCGACCGAGGATTATCTGGAAGGACAATGCCATTAAAGTCTCGAAAGAAAAGTTTATGCGAAATAATTATCTTCACTCCGGAATGGAAAGGTTAAACAAAATTCACGGCACCCCTATTATTATTTTTTTGTCTTTTTTACAGTTAAATACAAAAACATTTCAAACAAAAGTTATTATTATAAAATATGAATGAATCTGGTGATAAAATGTGAAGTATGCGCTTGACGTTGTTTTCATAATATTTCCTTGATATTAGGTCGTGTTTTTGAAAGACATGTCATCATATCATTTTCAAGGGCTTTTAATCTTTCTCTCTCTGACTACTCCTTATCGCTCGGTATACACTATATATTTTGGACGGGAGTAAAATCACCTCATGCGTAACGCCACATAACATAGAGTACGCACCTATATTCTGTGCGTAACGCTCGGTAGTCGAAGGCAAGCTCGACTCGCTGGCTCACAATTTCTAAAACGAATTTTTCCATTTGAAAGGAGATATGATATTAAAATAATTGGATCTGTCTTTGTAATTGACTAATATACAGGGTGGTGCCTAGCGCAACGCAGCATAGGGATTTCAATGGTAATTTCTTTATAGTCAATTACTAGCTCCCCTAATTATTTTAGAGCAAAAGTCTAAATACGTTTTTTTAGAGGAAAAAATACTGCATCTGGTCATACTTTTAGTTATAATTTTCAAAACCGTAGAAATCGACAAAATAAAAAATTACATTTTTATAAATCAGTGATGCTTTGGAATCTTTCAACAAACCAGAAGCGCATCGCATCTAAGTTATCATTGTTTGACGTCGAACGCTTTCATATTTAATTCTGTTCCAACTAACCGACGCAATAAAAGGTATCTTATAGTCCGGGAGCCAGCTGCCATTTTCATGACCAATAATAAGAAAGCTGAAATTTTGTAGTATGGTTCATTTAGTATTGCTAATTTTGTTATGTTTGTTATCTTCTTTTTTTGCTGAAGAGAAATTAACAAATTACCGTGAAAACTAGTTGGCAGGTAAACTCCTGACTTGACTTCCCGACTACTTTTAATAGAGTCATTGCAATTATCTTTGGTCATAGCATTGATTATACACACGTCATAGTATAACATTTAGAAAATGCCCTCTAGCGCCTTTATTTTGAACCCGACACAAAACGTTTAGAAGCGTTTTTTGTAGATCTCATCAAGACACATATTTTTTGTAATTAACATTTTTCACTCTGATGCTTACCTTTAGAGAAAAATGCAAATTTAGAAAAATAAAATAAAATACCTAAACATTTTTCGCATGTTAAGACGTGAAGCTGATGTACAACCCACCACCAAAAAGTCAGCTGACTACTTTTTTCCGTTTATTTAGATAGTAATCAACCTACAAACAAAATCTCAGCTTCTTAATATTGGTTTTTGTTCATCATAATTATACATCTTCGGATGGCTGCCGCGAATACACCCACCGCTACCGGGCCAGATTTCTTAATATTGGTTTTTGTTCATCATAATTATACATATTCGGATGGCTGCCGCGACTACACCCACCGCTACTGGGCCAGCTGACGATCACTACGTTTATTAGAAATACTAAATGAACCATACTACAACATTTCAGCTTTCTTATTATTGGTCATGAAAAATGGCAGCTGGCTCCCGGACTATTAGGGTAATGTTTTTTTTAGAGAATGTATGGTGCATCTGCATCAGATACTATTTGTTTATCATTTTCCGGAATCAGAGTACCTACATAATCGAAGAATTGGCAGAAGATTTGTTCTTAAGCTTATATTCGGATTTTCTGCTACTGCAGCCAAAACGTTGAATGTATTATCGTTTTCCTGATGGTTTTGACGGACATTTTGAACGTTTGCACTTGCAATAAACCATAGAAGTAATAAATAAAACAGAAACTTAAAAAGGTAAAATTGTAATAAAAAACCAATATTGGTTTTTGATAATTGTTTTAATTCTTTTTTTAATATAAGTAATTTTAATTTAATTATGTGTGTATTTAAAAATTCCACAAATCCTAAGGTGCCGCGGTACCCACTTGGAGAACCACTGGTATAGGTTAAATGAGGGCAAAATTTCCCCTTTATGTAACTAAATCAACGTATTTGAAAAATCTTTCAAAATGACCGAGATATAACTGTAAAACGTAAAAATTTCCTATCTTACACGGTCGGAAATGAACAGATTATACAGACTACTACTTTTTTATGTCTCTTGGACGCCTGATCTGTTATCAGAATTTCTATAACAAGCTAAAAGCTGGCTACTCGAGAGGCTACTACTGTCTTATTTCTTAGGGACGCCATTTTGGATTTTTACAGAATGAGATAGAGGACAGAAAAAGAGAAACAAAATACTGTTGACACAGCAAGATCTGGTTACCCAAGGATGTTTTGTTGAGAAATGAATGTAAAATATTTGATTTTGAAATTTTTTTTGTAAATTTATGTAAAAGTGTCGAGTGTAAACGTCTTTTTTTTTATCCTCTATCTCATTCCGTAAAAATCCAATATGGCGTCCAAGAGATATAAAAAAGTAGTAGCCTGTATCTGTAGCTTCACATCAAGTGTGTTATGGAAATTCTGATAAGTAATAGATTTACATTCTCTGAAAAACAGAGCCCAGAGAAGGTGCTAACGGGAACCGTCCATTTTCAACCGTTTAAGCTAGGGAAAATAAAATGAAATTTGACATTTTTAGTTTTTCAATGATGTCTCAGTTATTTTTAAAAAGTTCAAATGCGTTTATCCCACTATGTACATCAGGACAAACTTTACCATGGTCTCGAATTCATACTTAACATCTCAAAAAGTCCTTTAGCACATTTTAGATAATATAGGCAGTATTGTTGGCATTTTGTTTATCTGACCTGTGGTTACTGGCGCTATTGCATGCGTATGCCATACGTTATCGCAACATCAGTGGGGAAAAAGTGCTCCACACCTGTCTGAAATCGATCCAGGTTTTATACGCTTCCTTATAGGTTGTTTGACAAGCGTCATCAAAAGCCGATGCACTATCCTTATGTTGCAACTTAGAATTAGAGCTCATGTGGAGTGTCAATTACTCATTTCAAAGTGAGCTTGTTATAAAAGGATAATCTTGCAGGTTGACATTTTTTTTGGGCATAGACAAACACACGGCTGGACCCAAGTTTCTTGGAGAATTACTAAGTATATACAAACAAGGAGAGATCCCAGAACGCAGATTCTTTGTGATTGTCAGTGGTAGATAGCTATACATCAACAAAGTGTATCACAAAGGGCATAAGTACGAAAACTGACTGTAAGTGAACATGTGTGGATCTTCCCCTCAAAATTCAGAATCCAGAAGAAAAGGTCAGTATCCCTCAATGTGATTGACAAGTAGGGATCCTTAAGGTACCATTCCAAATTTGATCTTAGTAGTGGTGACCCGGCAACTCCACCATGGTCGTAGGGCACTACTCTTAGCAGTATGCCGCAGTGTTCAATCCAGGCGCTCCAGGCCAGCTCGCGATCGTGGCGCGGCTGGGCAGCCAAAGTGGGTCGCAACTGCCAAGATCGGAATGGTAGCTTTAAGGTAAAAAAAAATCGCTTACCGTTGTTTCTCTACTTGATTTTTGTTTTCATGCTCTTCATAAAACTCTGCCAGTTCAGAATCAGTTTTCTTTCCATAAATTTTATCAGGATCTGGTAACCATGACAGATCTGGCGCCTCAGATTCCGACTCGGATCCAAAATCATCCTGCTCTTGTTCTGCCTCTTCTTTTTCTTTCAATTTCTTTTCCTTTAACTTTTTCTTCTGCTCCTTATGCTTCAATTTTATCCTTTCTTTAAATAATTGTTTATCATATTTATCTTCCTCTCTCAAAACAAGTTTAGCCTTTTCTATATCTAGACCGCCCACGTCCTCATTTTCGTAAGCTTGCGCTAGTTCAGAACGTTTCTCTTTAGTGCCAACGGCAACTGCATCACCGTCATCGTTGAACACAAGTTTTTTATTTGAAGCAATATTTTTACGCAAAATTTTTTTTGCTAGTGCAACTTTTGTTGTGACCTTCTTTGAGGTATTAACATGAGGTGCTTCCAATTCTTGTCCCACTGGTATATCAATATCGTGGTCTCTCCTTTTAATAGTCAGTATGTCCTCATCACTATCACTATCAACCTCTTCTGTCTTATTGTGTTGATTGTCTTCCGTATCACTATTTTCGCTGTGCTCTACCCTATCTGCATTTCTCACGTTATTATTTTGCACAATTTGTTTTTGAGGTTGTGTTTTTAAATTTAAACGTTGTAAAAATCTAACTCTCGGTGTCACAGCTAAACCTAGTGATCGTGCAAATGAATCTGTGTCTAATGAATGTACATCAAAGACACTTTTGTCTTTCATTAAATATACATATTTTATGTAATTTTTAAATGCTCTTTGAGCTGATTCTTTTAGCGCGACAAATTTTACTAATAATGCCTCCATTTTCTTGATCGGATTTTGTAGTTTTATCGGATTCACTCTGCAATCAAAGATTATAAAAACTTAATCATGTAACAATCATTTAACTAGAGTAGGGTATTTATTTCTATTATGATGTACAAGAGAAATATTGATAATACTCACTCAATTTTTGTGAGTGGAATTTTCCGCTCTTTCAATTTTTCAATCATTGCTATTTCCGATGATAACAAAAGTAAAACGCTTTCACCACCTCGAAAATATCGCGCTGTCCTACCAGTTCGGTGTATGTAAGTGTCTGTATCCTCAGGGCAATCAGCATGTACAACCCAGTGCACTTCAGGAAAGTCCAATCCGCGTGCTGCCAAATCAGTAGCTATTAAAACAGCAGATTTTTTCTGAGAGAATGTTTCATACGTTGTTATTCTGCGTTGTTGGTGGAGACTTCCATATAAAGCGAAAACACTTGTACCTGGTTGTAATCTAAAAGAAGAACTTGTGTTGCACAGCAACTGATCACTTGCAATACATACTTACTTGCAAAACATTTCGTAAACAAATTTCACTTGCTTGCAACTGGAGAAGAAGATTATTACTTTCTTTTTCAAATGATTTTTGATAAAACTCCAAATCACAGCTATTTTGTCCTTTAATTCGCATATCATGTAACTTTGTTCTAAACCAACTGGAGTTGTATACTTGCAGTTGTCATGTACAGATATGTAGCATGGATCCTTTAAACTGAGTCTGGCCAGATCTTTTACAGATTTTGTTTGTGTAGCAGAAAACAGCATTGTTTGGCGTTTTTGGGGTAAATTGGCTATTATTGCATTCATAGTTTGAGCGAAGCCCATATCTAGGCATCTGTCTGCTTCATCTAATACCAAGACCTAAAAAACCATACAAATTGACAATAATAGAAATAAAATTACAATTACAAATTTAAACAATTAAAAATGATTAATTTTTTAACGACCGCCGATTATCATTTTTAACGTATTTTTTAAATAAACTATAGCTTATACCAGGGGTGGCCAAACTTTTTACAGCAAGAGCCATTTCTTTTTGTATGAAATTTGCGAGAGCCACACTTCCCATGATTGAGGAGTGGACGGGGAGGGATCTACGGTTTAACAAATGATTTATTTATCATTCTTTGTGGTTAGGTTGGAATAGCACTTTCAGGTTTTGATTTGGTAATTGCGACCGTTTTAACACAATTTATAGTCGAGCACAACGCTTCAACATCATAACTATCAACTCCAGATCCACGGGCTCTGTTTCTTTTAATATGTTTGTTGAAAGTGGAAAACTTTTATTAATTAGGTACACCAACTTCTAATGGATTTCATAGAAAACCAATGGCGGGTTCCAATTGTTTTGTGAGTGAGCCGCAGTACAGACTTAAAAGAGCCGTACTTTGGCCACCGTTGGCTTATACCGTCTGATGGTTTGAGATCTTAACCAGATTTTGTAAAAAGAAAAGCTTGGTAGAATATTAAATACTGATAATATACTGTCAAACATCACGATGAAAAATGCGCATAAACTTATCGCTTAATAGGCTTTGCTACTATAGCAAGTTATTAACACAAAAATCAAGAAAATGACATTACTGGCGAGTGGCGAAGGGTAAAAAAAGCAAACCTATTCTTATTTGTGGATGTATAGAAGATAATCAAGAGTATTAAAAGCTTCCCCTCAAGCTTCCCGTACTACGCGGTTACTATAAAACCTGCTGTGTACGCGATCCGACTGCTGTTTACACGACTTTAGTTTACCCTGAGATTCACATATCCACGATAGTGCCCCCTATCCGTGACCACACATTTTCTATTGAAAGCATAGGGCTAATAGCAGTCCATGTGCGTCAAGGTGTCCCATTTTTACGGTGTGAATAAATAACTGATTTTTAAATAGAACAGCCTGTATATTTTTAGTTGTTTCGATCACTTGTTAACTTCTACATGGAACCACTTTTTGATTGTTTGTCAATGTTGCTTTTATGCCTATACATTTCCCCCGAATAATTCTCACCATGCAATGATAAATCGTAGGTCGTAGCTACCTTGATTTCGAAGTTAAGAAATACATTTGAATAATAATGTTCATCTGAGTAAAAGGCAACACCTTAGTACGAACCTTAGACAATGAAAGAGAGGGGACCCGTAATACCGCATCCATGGGGAACACGATCAACTCGCCAAGGGCGACTCGCCACCGGACTACTCGCCACCGACCGACTAGCCAACGGGACAACTCGCCAACGCGACAACTCGTCACCGCGACAACTCGCCAATGGACGACTCGCCACTGCTACAACTTGCCAACGAAATATTTTTCCCTGTTTAATGTGTCATACAAATGCATCCCACAAATGCAATAGTCAATTTCCCTAATTTTGTAAACAAAGTTTATCGAAAAATTGTAGTCAATATTTGAATGAAGACCCAATCACCAATACCTGATTCTATTGCTGCATTTTGATATAAGGTACCTACTGTATATATCGCTATCGACAATCATATAGACATATTCTCATATGTCAATGTCGACAATGGGAAATGAATATTGGAACAAGAAATTGTTACTCGCTCTTTCGATTTATTTGAACAGAAAATTTAACAATCACATCGTTATTTGAACGACACATTAAACAGGGAAAAATATTTCGTTGGTGAGGTCGCAGTGGCGAGTCGTCCGTTGGCGAGTGGTCCGGTGGCGAGTCGCTCTTGGCGAGTTGACGCGTACCGATCCACGGCATGCGTGAATTTGACGCGCGGTGGCAGTGTGAATTTATTGACATTTCGTCATTATTGATAAAGTTTGTGTGTGCAAAACTGTGTAATACAAACGTGGTGAATTGTTCTGCGTACAACTGTAAAAATTGCAGTGGTCGTTGTCCAGCAGGAATATCATTTCATAGGCAAAATAAAAAACGGCACGTTTATACATATTAAATAAAATAGTAGTAAAATAGTTAAAATAGTATAAGGCATGTTCAATAAATACACGTTCGAACGCTGTGGCACGAATGTTAGTTGTGTTATAACCGCAGAAAGTTACATAAGACGGTCGTCGGTAATGTAGGTGTCTACTGTGACAGTTGACTCGTGATATTCGTAGAATACACAGTTGTTGTGCGCGTTTCAGTATGGCAGGTCATATCGTTGGAGCGTCCAAGATCGATCACCGAGCAGTACCTGCTTTTTCGATCACCGTGGACCATGAATTTAAAGACCCTCATGTTAACATCAATGCTGTCCGATACAGTGAATCTTTGACTCGCTTGCGTACAGCCATAAAGAATACGTCTTGGGATGCTTACGGAAGGCGTGATTCTCTTTCATGATAACGCAAGTCTGCATATCGCTAACATTATCACCTCACAGATAGCGCGACTGAGGTAGGAGGTATTAGAACACCCCCGTTACAGCTCGGTTCTGTCACCCTATGACTTCCACGTCTTTGGACTCTAAGAAGACACTCAAGGGACAGCGATTCCATTTGGACGCTGAAGTCGAGCAGGCCGTTTTCACATGGTTCTGTCAACAGCCACAGGAGTGGTATGCCACCGGTATATCGCGTTTTGTGAAGCAGTGGGATGCCTGCTGATGTAGTAATGGCAATTTTGTTTAGCTTAAATGAACCGCTTATATGTAAAACCGCTCGACCGTGTATTTATGGAACCTGCCTCGTATGTAGATTAATCAAACAACTATATTTAAATTGATTGTTTAAATATGTGCGATTACTTACTCCACATACGCGTTTTGTATTTACCAGGCAATGGTCAATTAACAATTACCTATGTCGCTGTGATCTGTGGTACAAACCGTATCTATGGTTTCAACCAAGCACACTCTGGATCTGAACCGTCTGTAAATTGACAGGTGCAATAATGGCCCTATCAATTTGGCACCATTCACGCAAAAGTCTTTTGCAGTATGTTTCAATTTGATTTTATTGATGTATTGACCATTCAGTTTGAATTGTCAGAATCATCATTGTAGGTATATACAAGATAAGTATTCGGATTTTGTTTCAATATGGCGAAATTGGCTTATTCACAAACTTGACCAAGATATTTGTGAGTTACACCATTCACCAATACTTAAAGTTTGGTCGAAATCGGTTCATAATGACGAAAATTAGAGTTTTTCTTGGAAGTGATATACAATATAAACCTCTAAATATACTGGTACCATTACAATAGGTAGATAGACATGATACTAGATCGAAAGCTATTAAAGACAACTAATTGTTATCAAATTTTGCCTACGCTCGCTCGCTCGGTTTTAATCAAACTTAAAAATGGGGGGGGGGGGGGCGTTGGACCCCTGCATGGTATTCTGATGAAACAAATCTGTTTGTGTGAACTATAACTTTCCTGAGCAACTCCTTTTCTAGATCAGCAGGGGAAGGGGGAGATTCTTTCTTACCCCTTATCAAAATAGGGGCTGCGGGGAGTGGTTTTATCCTTCATGGTACTCGGTTATAATTCCTCATATCTCAAGAGTCAATTATCGGAAAAGGGTGCCCACCAAGGGAGTATGGGACTTCTGGAAGCAATATATGCATTGGTGACGTCAAAACTTGAAAAGCGAATATCTCGAAAACGGTTTGTTGTCTAGACTAGACATATATTTTGGTGAAGTCAAACAAAACTGTATCTTGAAAAGGAAGTGTCGGAAGGTACTCAAAAAGGCCAAGTGGAATGTGTCTGGTCGAGACACATCTATTGGTGTCAAAACTTTCAATGCTAGGTAATATCTGCAGAACCGAGTGTTGCAGGAGGGTACTCTCAATGAGCGGAAGCGGAACAATCATCTAAACGATGTGTACTGCGGATGTTTACACTTAATTACGAATATCTCGAAAATGTTGAGGTAAAGTAGGTACCTACCTACCTACAAAGGAAAAATACAATATTTTGGAGGGTTTCTCAAGGACTTGACTCTTCTTGCGTTAGATTTTTAATGTATGTCAAGCGGCCTTTAAATGTTCATGTGTAAAGATCCCTCTCCCCATTAATCATCTAGCAAGAAAGTAAACATTGATAAATATAGCATGCTAGTAAGTACTTGATGTTGATATTCAGCACTTTATAACTTAATACTTCAAGTTCAGAATCCTTTCAAACACTAAAGACAATCACCCATTCTTTGGTGAGGAATACTTTTGCACTCGCCTTTGCAACTTGTTGAAAATGAAGATTCAAAAGAAGTTTTTAAAGAAATTAAAAAATTCAAAAATTAATTTATTTAAAAATACTGATTCACTAGATTTATTAATCCAACAGAAACATCTTATAAAGTTTTTCATGATCGTCATTGTCAAATTTAGGTACAAAGTCTACATTCACAATTTCATTAAAGCCCTCTTCTACAATGGGTTCCTCGTAATTCTTTTTATACATATTTAAAATCACCTCACCTACAGGAACATGAGTTTTGTCTGTAATTTGACGAAACTTGTTATTGTGTTTACAATGCACTGGACTTGTGGTCATTACAAAACATCTGCAAGGAACATTTAACTTTTTCGCCACATCGATATACCTTTTTCGACTTGTTTTATCGCCATTTGTATTGTCAATTACAACCCTTTCATTCTTCTGCAGTGATTTTTCTAACATCTTCACACACGCCTGCCAAGAACCTAACGTATCACGATTCACATGTACATATCCGTTACTGACAAGGTTATGTTTGGCAAAATGACTCTTTCCCGAGCCCGGGCTGCCAACCATAACGATAACTTCACACTCATTCACACATTTATCACCACAATTTGAATTAGGTAGAGTCTTTGGATCAAACTTAGGGCTGAGGTGCTTTACAGGGCGAGAACCAAGGAAGAATTCTTCAGGAGTGTAGAATTTTAGACCAACGTTCAGTGCAAATAGTCGATCAGCGAGCGAGTGATCTTTGGCTTTCTTCGGAGCCCAATCCTTCTCACGGCCAGCAGCATCTCCAACATAAAATGACTCAGATAGATCAACGGAAATTTGGTCATTTTTCTCTGAACAAAGTGTGTTCCACATACCGGTTACGGGTTTTCTGTAAATGCTATTTGTAGTAGCTGCGAAAAGTTGAATCGGAACCTTAATTTTAGACAACACGCCTTCGGCTTTCATTTTAAACGAGTTTCTTTTAGCAGCATCATTTTTTACACCTCCCTGATTGGTGAATATGACAATTTTATAATTCTTGTCAATTAAATCACTTAATTTTGCAGATACATCGCTAAAGTTTAACACCCAATCGTCTGCATTTTTTGCAAAGCGGGCTCCCGATTTAGTTCGAATCAGTGTACCATCCAAATCAAAAGCAGCAACTTTGGATTGCGATTTTACAGTAGAGTAAGTACAAATTAATAATTCCCCATTATCAATAATATCCCACATACTGGTTCCGTCTCCCTGACCATTATTATTATTTATAGAAGCTTTCGCTTTCTCCGAATTCTTTGCAAAGTTAAATATTGCATGATTGGGTTTGGCTCGCTTAGCTACGGGTTCCGCGCAATCGTCAATTTGATAATCGAAGAGTACATCAAATTCATAATTTCCCATTATTAATTCTAATCGATCTTCGTGCTTTAACGTATACTTTTTACCTTTCTTCAGAGCGTAGCCATTACAGCAAGAACAATTAGTTCCAAGAGGTTCAACGGTTACTTCACGTTTTGCATAATTAGCTGTGGCTGCTATTTGATTTCTGGACATGTATGGATCTTTTATTTCAGTCTCTTTACTTCTACCTAAATGAACAGTGACATTATCTGGCAAAGGTATAATTTTTAATGGATTTTTCAGGCATTTCACTACACAGTTTTTTGCAATACTGGACATTTTTATGCCAATACAATATTTAAAAACAAAACTAATGGTCGGAACGTGGACGACGATTCGATAACAAAACAAAAAATTTGAGGTTACTTTACTGCGGACTGACTTTAGGCAGGTTATGTTTATACTTCTGTGGTACCATAGAGATGAGGCCCACGGTGATATACTATACAGAGTGCACCAACAGTGGTTTGCATATTTAAGATTTAGACTGTTATAAATTTATTATTAATCAATTAGAAATAAATAAACGACGAAATTAAATTTACATTACAATATGTACAACCAAAGGTTACCTATATGAAATATAGGTTCCGGTTGTGTGACAATAATTTTCGGATCCGGTCCGGTTTTTTTTCCGGTTTTTGAAGGTTCAAACATAGATTTGTATTTGCATATATAAAGAGTACGAGGTATTAATACGTTTTTTAGGACTTTACCTTCCCTCAACCCTCAAGTTTACCTTCTCTCAAACTTTGCTTATAATAATAATAATAATAATATTTATTTCCAACAGACAAAGTCTTATACAGAAAATATCCGGTTACATGTAGGTATAGTTTTGAGTCCTGCATTACATATTATGGTTGTCATAATCATTGAAATATATCTATATTGTGTTGCAATCTATGATAAGTGCGAAACATTTTAACCACGGGGGAGTTTTTATAGTGTTCTGTTCTAGGTCTATTGTAAAAGAAGGTTGATAAGTTTCTCGTAGCTATAGGAGAGATTCTATAACTTATTGAATTGACAATATCGGGAACATCATAGTGACCGTGAATAATTTTGTACAAACTTTTAAGTATCACATTATCATGGTGGTCTCTTAACGATACAGTGTTGAACAAATGTAGTAATTCTTCATGAGGATGGCCACGGGCAGGATAGGAGCCCATTGTCAAGAAGAACATGCATTTTAGAAACTTACGATGAACACTCTCCAATTGTCCGATGTTATGAATTGTAGAAGGTGACCATATGGGACCGCAATAATCCAGTTTGCTTAGAATTAGCGCATTAAACAAGATTTGTAAAACAGATGGACATTTAAAATCACTAGTGTTTCGCATAATGAAACCAAGTAGTCTGTTACATTCATTTGATAAATTCGTTATATGGGCATTATAGTCCGGGAGCTAGCGTCCTATTTGACCGGACCATTTTCGCAAAGTTCATCTTTCTACTATAGATTTTTGATCCATAACCTATCAACGATAGGGGCGTCAGCTGGTTCAAAAGCTTGGCTAAAGATGGCGAGAGACTGAGAAAGACGTAAAAAAAATTGTTTTTCGGACCATTTTCGCAAAGCTGAAAATGGTATATATAATAGTGTACAATGTAAAAAGAGGATAAATAACTGTCAGCTGATATTTAAATGTGGCAAAACCTGTTAGCTGGGCGTCCAAAGTGTAGCGTAGCTGTAGCGCGCGCTAGCGCACGCGTCGACTTGGAATTTTGATGACTCAGCTAACACATTTTTCCACGTTGTCGTGTCAGTTAACAAGTGGTTTTCTTTTTTTGTGCCATAAACTGATGAGGTACTCATTTCCATGCATGCTGATGTCATATTATTGGAGAAAAATATGACTGAAAGAGAATACATGAGTAAAATGGTATCACATACTGTATAATAATATTATACATGAAACATTGTATTTTATAATTTGTAACGTGCGTTAAGGACATAGAATAAATCAAAAGAGACAAAACAAACCAAAAAAGAAACTAATAGCCCTAACCACGGCTGCGGCTGCTTACGGAGAGACTGTAGGTATGATTGTGTGAGATTATCTTTCTGGCGCTACCAACTTTTATTTCCCTGTTAGGGAGCCGTGCCCAAAAATTACAAAATAGCCATCTTGTGGTCGAGGAAGCTAAGGAGAAAATAAGACAAACAGTGGAAGATTGTTTAAATATTTTTGGAAATAAAGACGGCGGGCGTGTATAAATTGATGATTTAGATCCCCAAACTATGGGCGGGTTTCAAAATAATATATTTTTTCTCCAACCACCTGAATAAGACGCTATTTTGTGACAGTGTTCGGTACGTAAAATTGACGTTTTGCGGATTAATCGCTTTCACCATGGCAACTGTACACAAAGTGGATACTTTTGGTCCTAGTACCAAAAAGAAATTGACCTTGAAAGTTGGCCAATTAAAAAATTACAATCACGGAGATATGTCACATTGACATCGTTTTACATTGCAGGTTGTAAGATATTTCTATACATACAAATCAAATATTTTTGCATATTCAATGCAAATAATGATGTTACCTATACGTATGTACATTTATTGAAAATGATTTACGCTCGCTATTTTTATTTAAACCATGTGTAACGTAATTTACATATTCGATGAACGTAATTTTAATACGTATACAACCCGGCGTCGCGCGTAACGCCATCTACTTCAGACCCATTGCACTATTATCTGTCGTTTTGAATTCAAAATTTGAAAAAGTTAATTGCAATTAATTTTAATTAAAAAACTGTATGGTAAGTTCTTTATTTCAATACAAAATATAACAATATTAATTGTGTATACAATAGAAATGACTGAAACTGATAGCAACATGGATTGCACTCCGCCAGAGATTATAGAAACGGCAGAACATGCTACCTCAAGATTTGCTCCCTACAAAGTCGCGAGAGGTGAGAAGTAAACGAATAGGTTATAAGTTCACCTAAAAACTAGAGTGGCATGACACGTGAGGACAAGAAAGCAGAAATTCTTATACTAGTAGTGAAACTGACTGAATCTAAATTCGAATATAATTTGAAGTAAAGGGGGTTGGAGAAAAAATTTTATGTTTTATTCGTACAAAAAATGCGTTTTCGGGACTCGGAAGGTTGCTGGACTCCGCTGACGCGTCGTCCAGCAACTATCTTCCTCGTCCCGAAAACTGACATTTTTTCTACTAATGAAACAAATAACTATTTCGAGCTTTATTGACATCAATTGAACGAGGATAAATCCCAATAAACTTGGCTGGCAAAATTGAAACTTCCGCACCTCATTCACGCACTAGAGACGATTATTGAATGGCCTCCGGAAAATAAAAAGGAGCAAAAACACGCAACCAAGGACAAAATTTGGGGAAAATCAAAAAGTAACGGGCACTAGGCGGAAGTAACAAAATGACGGAAAAATTTTTACAACCACTCTGTAAACTCTATATGGGCAAGAAATGTAATAAAAATCTCAGTCGCGATGTATTTTCGTGATGATTGGAGATGGAGGTATACATGTGCGATACAAAATATGTCGAATGAATCAAGATAGTTTTTTTAATAAAACATTTTTTCAATCAGACCAACGGTTTAAGAAATATAAGAGGTTGAATATTTATTAAAAACGTAACGCGAGCGCCTCAGCTCCTGGCAACACCGACCGACGCGACGCCTGCCTTTATTAACACGCACGCTGTCGCATAAGTCCGTCTCAGTCACACTCCCGCAGACCCGGTCTGTTTTTTTGTAACGCATTTTTTAAGAATTGTCTAAGAAATGTGTTATTGGTTGCGTTTTGTCCTAACAGGAAAATAAAAGTTAGTAGCGCCTAAAATAATCTTACACAAACGTACCATAATCTCTCCGGAAGCAGCCGCAGCCGTGGTTAGGGCTATTAGCTCGGCTATTAGTTTCCTTTTTTTAGTTTGTTTTGTCTCTTTTGATTTATTCTATGTCCTTAACCACGTTACAAATTATAAAATACAATGTTTCAATTTATGTATAATATTATTATACAGTATGTGATACCATTTTACTCATGTATTCTCTTTCAATCATATTTTTCTCCAATAATATGACATCATCATGTATGGAAATGAGTACCTCATCAGTTTATGGTACAAAAAAAGGAAACCACTTGTTAGCTGACACGACAACGTGGAAAAATGTGTTAGCTGGGCCATCAAAATTCAAAGTCGCCGGGTGCGCTAGCGCCCGCTAACGCTACGCTACACTTTGGACGCCCAGCTAACAGGTTTTGCCACATTTAAATAACAGCTGACAGTTATTTATGCTCTTTTTACATTGTACACTATTATATACAGGGTGTTACACGACCGTTCGAAAAAAAAAAATCGGGTTGTAGAGGGCATCAAAACAAGCACTTTTTCCAAATAAATCGAGGGTCCAACGTGTTTCGTTTGGGAGCCACCCCCCAAAGAGTGTTGAAATCTGCATTTCTTCTTTAATTTTTTTCTCAGCAACCATAAGAGTTAGAAAGTCGGGTGGCATGTCTTTGAATAGGTTTTTGGGTATGCTCTTTCCGATTTTGCAATTTTTTTTTCAAAATTCCTACCCCTAAAGGGCGCACCCCTAAACTAGGGTGCAAAAAAAAAATTCTGATTTCGACGAAATTTGGTATCTGGGGGTTTTTTAACATGAAAATCACGAATCTGAAATTAGTTTTTGAAAATTCGAAAAAAAAAGTTCCACTGCAATTCTTGGCGGGACAACGAAAATAGAGATAATTCCACGAAATTTGTTGTGTACATACTAAACGAGTTAAGGAACAAAACTGTCGAACAGTTTTTTAAAATAACTATTCAAACAAAAGTTATACTCATTTGAATGTTGGTCCTTCGGGTCGCGAAGTGTCCCAAGCCTACTAGTAAGCCATAATTTCGCATGTGTTGGTTGACAATGTCGCAAAAACAAAAGATTAATGGTTTGAGTCGATATTTTGTTATTTGGAATTAATTCGGTCATTAAATGATTAAAAAATTCGATGTATCGATTAAAACACTTACCAAGGTATCTTAAAGCGCTGATCGATTATTTATTATCTAAATAAGGTAGGGGAAAAAGTCAAATCACTTTCCGTATGATACTTTTTCACTATGATCAAAAATTTTCATAATCTTAGGTTGAAAAATAACTTCCAAAAGAACACGCTCCTTTTAAGGACAAATCGATCAGCGCTTTTATGTACCTTGGTAGGTGTTTTAATCGATACATCGAATTTTTTAATCATTTAATGACCGAATTAATTCCAAATAACAAAATATCGACTCAAACCGTTAATCTTTTGTTTTTGCGACATTGTCAACCAACACATGCAAAATTATGGCTTACTAGTAGGCTTGGGACACTTCGCGACCCGAAGGACCAACATTCAAATGAGTATAACTTTTGTTTGAAAAGTTATTTTAAAAAAACTGTTCGACAGTTTTGTTCCTTAACTCGTTTAGTATGTACACAACAAATTTCGTGGAATTATCTCTATTTTCGTTGTCCCGCCAAGAATTGCGGTGGAACTTTTTTTTTCGAATTTTCAAAAACTAATTTCAGATTCGTGATTTTCATGTTAAAAAACCCCCAGATACCAAATTTCGTCGAAATCAGAATTTTTTTTTGCACCCTAGTTTAGGGATGTGCCCTTTAGGGGTAGGAATTTTGAAAAAAAAATTGCAAAATCGGAAAGAGCATACCCAAAAACCTATTCAAAGACATGCCACCCGACTTTGTAACTCTTATAGTTGCTGAGAAAAAAATTAAAGAAGAAATGCAGATATCAACACTCTTTGGGGGGTGGCTCCCAAACGAAACACGTTGGACCCTCGGTTTATTTGGAAAAAGTGCTTGTTTTGATGCCCTCTACAACCCGATTTTTTTTTTTCGAACGGTCGTGTAACACCCTGTATACAGTACAACCTCGATAATCCGAATACACGCTAGTCCGAAATCGCGATAGTCCGAAAGATTTATGTGTACATAATTGTGTATGTACATACTGTACTCTTAAATACATATGAATGCTTTTTTACAAGGACAAAGTTTAATTTTGTTTTAGGTGCAGTTTTTAACTAACTTCTGTCCTTGGTTTGTTAAATTTATGTTTTGTTGAAAAGAATAAAGGTTATTTCTTAATGCTTGTGTCCAAATTTATTATTTTCACTAGTTTCGCGACAATCCGAAAATTTGATAATCCCAAAGGTCAGTGGTCCGAATCTATTCGGATTAACGAGGTTGTACTGTACCATTTTCATCTTTGCGAAAATGGTCCGAAAAACAATTTTTTTTACGTGTTTCTTAGCCTCTCATACCAACACGCCACGCAGTCGCGCCAGCTGACGCTTGTTTTAAGTTAAGTAAAAACTACCAGGCAGAATAGAAAGTAATTGTGCGAAAATGACCCGTAAAAATAGGACGCTACCTCCCGTACTATTAAACGTCAGTTTGGAATCAAACGTGACACCGAGATTTTTAAATATTTCACACCTTTTTATTTGATTCCCCGACACATTATAACTATATTCTATTGGCGATCTACTGCGCGTATAAGACACGGTATAGCATTTATCAATATTCAGTTCTAAGCTGTTTTGATGGCACCACTCATGTATGCGGTCCAGGTTAATCTGGAGTAGTTCACAGTCCTGCTCTGATTTAATGGCCCGATATATTTTGATGTCGTCTGCATATATTATAGTTTTCTTTTAAGTTCTCATTGTTCTTTTGGATTACTTTTACGTGGATTACATCGCATATTTACTTGGACTTGGATTTTAGGAAGATTGACAGTGACGAACGACGTGCGATAGATGTCGAATTTCTACATTACCAGCAGATTCACCCCCCATATCAGTGAAACCAAAGATATGATTGTACCAACATTACCTGGTGACCCACTTACATGGAATTGGTTTACCTACACTTCGATACAGTTCCTAACCACAGGTCCAATGGAAGGTGACTACTTCCTTGTCGTAGTGGATGCTTTTAGCAGTTGGCCGGAGGTCATTCGGATGCGTTCAACCACGGCGGAGAAAACGGTCAAGGCAATGGCTGAAATATTCGCTCACTGGGGTCCTTGCAAAACGATCGTTTCGGACAACGGACCACAATTCATATCAGAAACTTTTAAAAAATTTTGTATGGCGGAAGGCATTCAGCACATCACCTCAGCTGCTTATCATCCACAGTCGAACGGAAGGGCGGAAAAGTTCGTTGACACTCTCAAGACGGCTTTGCGAAAACTTGAAGGGACGGATGGTGGCATCGACTCTCATCTTAGGATCTTCCTGAGCAGCTATCGCCGAACTCCATCTAATGCGTTCAACAATAAATCACCGTTTGAACTCATGACGGGACGCAAAATGCCTTCGAAATTCGATCTTTTGCTCGAACGGTCAGACGGAAAAGGTGATCCTAATGTAAAGGCTCAACAGTTCAACAGACACCACGGAGCGAAAGCACGAACATTCGGCATCGGAGAGACAGTTTACTATCAGATGCACCATGGCAATGACTGGATGTGGCATCCAGGAGTTATCCTAAAGCAACTGGGAGAAACAAATTTCCTAATCAACGTGAAGGACCGAATCATTAAGGCGCACAAGAATCAACTGCAACGACGAGTGTCACCAATTCATCAGGACAATGAAACCGATCATTACGACTACTTTGATTGTAATTCCTATTCGTGTCAGAACAATCAGATCCTTGAAAGCCCTCTTCCACAAGATGATCCAAACGAAAGCCGCATGACAAGCTCATTCGACGATGCCGATGGAGAATTCTCAGAAGAAGAAGTACAAATTCAGCCATACGTCAACGATCGCCCACATCGCACTACAGCAGGAAAACTGCCCGAAAAATACAAAGACTTCGTGATGGCAGTCCTGGCCAAGCATGCATAACCTGGAGTCCTGGACATTTCATCTTAGTGGGGAGGAGTGATGTAGATGTAACACACCTAATACAAGTAGGCGGCTCTGATTTTGGATGACAGTTGGAATTATGTAAAACGTATATAAACACGCGTTTTCCGTTCTCTTAAATAATAAAGTATTCTAATAAACTGTAATTACTCTTGACTTGTTCTACGAATACTTCATTAACGAACCCCCTTTGGAGATTAGCGATCTTGTAAATTGCTCAGATACATCTGATTTTACTTACACTACTTGTTTGGTTACAAAGATATATTTCTGAAACTCGGTTTGATCTAGATTATTAACGATCCTCGAGATCGTTTATAATTTTGTATTGCTGTCTGTCTCTCCGTGTGCACGATAACTTTGTGTAGAAACGACCGATTGCTTTGAAAATTGATATGCATCTTCTTCAGGATATAAGAAAGGTCGCTATTGTTTTTCAGCTACATAGACCAACGGGATAAAAAGTTACAGACCAAAAACTGCGCGAACCTCCAAAAAGGGTTTCTTTTATAACTCTTCTTACAAAGATCATATGAATGTCCAGTTTTCTGTGTCAGTAAATATTCCTTAAACCTCAAGTAGATGCAAAAAAAAATATTGCGCATGCGCATTCCAACTTTTGTATTTGCGCAATCCCAATTTTTTTATTTGTTAAGATATTTACATGAAATTTTGTATATAGGCACCTCGAATAAAAGTAAAACTAAAACGAATCAAACAATTTGTTTTGCGCATGCGCAGTCGGTTTTTGTTTGTTTGTTAAGATATTTAAGTAGATGAAATTTTGTATGTAGGCACTTGGAATAAAAGTAAAACTAATTAAATTAATTGAAGTATTGGAGAAGTTTTCAGCCTCAAATACCTACCCAAAAATGTCTACCACATCTCGAGTAATATTGCGTTCCCACTACACATCATTTATTTATTTATTATCCCTCTCTTGTTCTGGGCCCTCAACAGGCTTACACCCAATTACAGAGTGATCCGCATAATGCTTTTTAGAGGTTCCTCTGCAGAAGGTCTTAAGTTGTTGTACACTACTCCAGTATTTACCTTATGAATTAGGAAAACTGCAGGAAAACCTAATTCGGAGTATCCCGCAAAATATGCTTGAAACTGGTCTAAGGTAATTCCCATCTCTGCCACAGATGAAAAATTCACCTCAACCCAGGTTCGGATATAGTCCAACGCTCTACCACTGAACCATAAAGCCGGTAGCAATAGCCCACAGTTGTAAATTCCTTTCTAAGAATTTCATTGGCAGCATTAGATATGCTTTTTGCTTCTTTGTGAATGAGTTAAAGCAAACATGTCCTCATACAGTTTCAGAAGGTACACTTCTTCATTTGAGGTAGTAATAAATTTTTAAAAAAATAACATACCTTCATGTTGTTGCAGTCAAACAAAGGGTTTTCATCCATATGCTGTAACAGTCGACCGGGTGTGCATATTATAATGTTACACTGATCCATTCTTTTACGTTCAAATTTCAGATCTTTCCCACCAATTATGAGCCCAGCTGAAAAATCGTGACATTTCCCAACCTTCCGTAACACTTCAAATATTTGTAATGCTAATTCTCTAGTAGGGGTAATAACCAGTGCACCTAAACCGTCTAAATGTGTCCACTGATTACAATAGAGCAGCTCCAAAATTGGAATTAAAAAAGCCAACGTTTTCCCCGAGCCTGTTTGTGCTGCGCCTAGAACATCTTTGCCTTGCAACGCCAATAAAATGGTTTCCCGTTGAATGTCGGTGGGATTTATATATTTCGCTGCCTTTAAGCCTCTTACTGTGTTTGAGGAGAGTGGGAAATCCGAAAATGCTTTGCAATCACTCGAAACAATCTAAAATTAAGGAAAAGAATGAGAAATCCTTATGAAAACCAAGACATCTTACATCTTTATATTTTTGACCAAGTTCTTCGATAGCATTATTTATGCCTTTTGAAGTTTTTTGTTTTTTAGTGAACACTTTCACTTTAGCTTTTTTCTTCTTAATAATCTTATTTTTGTGCGGGTTAGACATAATATTCGTATTTAAAGTTAAACCACACTTAAATGTTTAAGGTTATACTTGTAAAGTAGGGGTTAATAGAACTACGCTCGATGGTAGTAATTAGAGCAAATCAACTAGAATATAAATCTGGATTTACACTTTACTTATATACAACCCTGTGATTTACACCAACTGATAAAGCATGCCTTAGACCAGCGGTTCCCAACCTCTGGTACGCGTACCCCTAGCATTGAATTTATAACTATCAGAAGCGCAGGTTATATAGCACGAAATGTGACGGTTTTCAATAGTTTAATTTGCAAGACGTAGATGTCTCCTACCATCAAGAAAGATGAATAATAATCTCAGTTTTTTATCTTCCTTAATTATTATGCAAGAATCTGTAATGAACCGTGAACCCAGTATCTCGATTTGTAATTGTTGCATACGGAATTCTAGATACTCAAGAAACGTATTTGTAATGCATTTATGTGGCACACAAGCATGAATGTTTTATAACGCAAGATAAATATCTACAATAACTACAACAGATCGCCAACTGAATGCACCTTTTCTCAAATGCAGCCTACTACACTGATGAACCGGTAGAGTATTATTAGGGTGATACCTTGGATGAAAAAATAACAGAATTGCTAGCAAAGTCAAATTTATGAAGCCAACATCTACAGCGCCATCACAGGGCAGTTGTGCGTTTTGTGAAACGAAATTTGACACACGGGAAGATTTAATTTGGGTGTTTTATAGTGATTTTATGTAATTTTGTGTTAGTTGTGTTACTTTTATATAGTTAATTAAAAATGAGACGCTGAAGTTGTGAAAATGTGATGTAGTTTATAACCTTAAAAACAAGGACATTAAGTCAGAAACGTTTTTCGCATAAGTAAAAGACTAATTCGGTTCCTTCAATTTTCCCAAATACATCAAATGAAAATGTCGATGGTTTCTCCGACCAAGAACAAGTTGAAGAAATGACAATAGATGAAAAGGTAAACACTTTCCCTGATCATCAAAATATGGATTATAATCGTTGTGTAACACCCTGCAGACGCTGCAATAAACATGTATGCATATTTGTTAAATAAAAGCTTATTCCACGATCTATTGGTATCATTCAAAAATTATATCTAGTTCAAATTTATTCATTATATAAGTAAATTAATTCGTCAGGTATGAAGTTACAGTTATCGTAATATATTTTGTGTGGATATACTTTGTCCTTGCAAATTTCATATTTAGCGCCTCAGATTTAGTTCTCATTTTAGTCATACCCAGTGATAGCGCTGCAGATGTTGGCTTCAATTTTTATAACGACGCTAGCAGTCTCAGGTTTAAATGGCGGAAGTCTTGCAAAACACACACGGGGGTGGTCGTTGCCAGACCGTCTCGGTACGTCGCATCGTCTACATCTACTGCTACACCAAGAATCGCGTGGCGTTTTATTACCGGAGCGGCGTTTGTTTACATAGCTTTATACAGGGTGTTCCTTAAAAACATGCTAATATTTAAGGGAGTGATTCTTGGACCAATTTTAAGGAAAAAACTTCCTATGAACGTCTAAAAGTTTTAACTTTTAAGATACAGGGTGGCAAACTTTTAAAAAAATCAGATTTAATAACAAAGATATATTGTAGACATCTTTATGAAATTTGGTACATGCTTCTATATATCAAGATGCATTTTCTGATGTGCAAAAGTTTTTATTTTCTCTACCAGTGGCGTCCGTACGGTTTTTGCATTGAATATATTTAGAGAAAAAAATACTACGCCACTGCTTTCTCTTAAAATAAAACTTATTTTTAAATCCTCATTCATTTTTGGGCAAATTTGATGTTCTGGTTTTTCTTTGTCCGGCGCATGGTTTTCGCTTATTCTTAGGAAATTGACCCTGAAGTAAAACGATTTTTATTTTTTTAAGCGAAAACCATGCGCCGCACAAAGAAAAATCAGAAGATCAAATTTGCTCAAAAATGAATGAGGATTTTAAAAATAATTTTTATTTTAAGAGAAAGCAGTGGCGTAGTATTTTTCTCTAGATATATTCAATGCAAAAGCCGTACGGACGCCGCTGGTAGAGAAAATAAACACTTTTGCACATCAGAAAATGCATAGTCATTTGCACTCAAGAATTTTTAATTTGTTTTTCGTAAGACATTCGCGCGGCTTCGAATGTACGATTCTTGTAACACGAACGTAAATGCCATCTAGTCTCACGCTTTTATAGAACCGTGACACATTGCTCGGCTTCGTCTCGCCCATTCAAAGATACAAAGAGGACATCGGTTGACTTCGGCGACTGCGCCGCCTCACCTAACACATTTATCCAAATCCCATCGATTCAAGAACGCGACTGATCGATATAGGAGCCCCGCATGACGTGACGCTACTCAATGAACGCAGATCTACATGCCGAATTTATTATAGGAATGAACACATTTCCCTGAAGCAGTGTGTCATGCACAGAGTTGTATAATACCCGATAATACCACTCTGTGGTGTTATGATGCTTTTCATTCCAATCAGAATTCAGCATTTAGATTTGCGTTGTGTTGAGTACAGAGACATGGAGAGAGGAGATCGGTGATCGACGAGTGCGCATCCAAGAAAGGGTGCGACCTCATGGGCGCTGCCATTTTTACACCCTTTGTGTCATGTTGTGTTTATAGTGGTGTTATTTTAGCGTGTGTTCGTGTTTAGGAGAGCTTTTTTCGAGGTTTAAGTGTTTATTTTGTAACGTCAACGTCACTGGCATTTTCTTTTGTTCATTTGGATTGAGATATTAGTTTCTTCCTACGGAGCTGCTGCCGAATAGAGTGTAGTGTATGAAGATTGCGTTAGATGTCTCTGGGTTGCGTCAGTAAACCTTTATAGTCCTGTTCAAATTTCGCGCTTCAATGGGTGTCAAAATGGCAGCCCCCTTGTTTTGTAACTTCGCGCAGGTTCATGCGTTATCTCCTCTCTCCATGTCTCTGGTTGAGTAGCGTCACGCCACGTTGCGCCAGGAAGGTATGTTCTCGCCTTTAATATTCATCTTAAAACGTAAATCTTAATCTTTTGATATCCTTGCCACTTATTACTACCACAAGGACTGCACACGGCTAATATATGTAAAAAAAAACGTTTAAGAATGAAATATATTAAAAAAAAAACACATGTGATTCTACCAATACCAACAAAACTATTATCTCTGCGCAGGACCTATCAGTGCCGTATTTGAGAATAGCGCACAGCGTTATCTCTGTTTCATCACGACTCACAGAGTGACATGACATCGGACTCTGGACCACAGATATACGTCTTTACGTATATCTGTGTCTGGACTAACCATCATTCGTTTGTGAAAAAGGCGGCCCCACATTACATGGCAAACTAGGCGAACGCCAACGTTTGCGATGTGTACAAGTTTCCTTGCCAAATTAAAGCTTGTCAAGTGGTTCATACACATTATATGTCGAACTTTCCTATACTCCATACAGCTATCATGGCGAATGTCCTTTGAAGTTTGTCCGTTTACCGACTGCTGGGCGAACGTTGACAAACGCGAACGTTGGCAATGTGCGACTCGTACACATGATATGGTAAACTCGACGCATCACCAACGTTCGTCTAGTTTGCCATGTAATGTGGGGCCGCCTAAACGTAAACGGACCTATAATACGTATGCTTACGTTAAAAATCGAATCGCGCATAAGTTCAATGTCAAAATAACGTTACCCGTTAATACCGCTTGACGTTAGTGAAAGACCCGAGTAAAGACCCATATCTCTATAATAAATTATTTTTGTTTGGTGATCAGCTTTAAGCTTTGGTAATGTATTATAATTAGGTACCTTTCAAATGTCTCTATTTTAAAGATACTCAAATTGTAAATACTCTCATTGTGTTTATTTCACAGCCCACGGGTTGTATGTACCTATATAATTTACAAGATTTTAATTGTTCACGTGAAGTTTCAGGTTTTGATGTATCAGTTGATGCCACATACAACCTATACGTAGGTTCGCGGGAGCATACTTACCTACCTATAACAATAAATTGTGCACACACGTAAAACTTTGACTTTCAAGGCAAGTAGGAGTTTAATGAATTTCTGAACACACTATACAAATAAGTAGTAATTAATATTACAACTAATGTATTATGGTTATAATCATTGTCACAGAAATCAAAGAGCACAAAAATTGCACTCCCTAAAGGCGGATCCACATCATAGATAATTAAATTATCTATGATCCACATTGATAAATATTTGCGTTGTGTGTTGAATTTTGAATTTTGGCAAAAGTATTTGCCCCCCAAATTTGAATATGGTCACGTATTTACTAGTACTACGTAAATATTTATGTTGTGTGTTGTATTTGCTGAATCCACGTGTGCACATTCGCATGCACAAGTCCTCATTAGAACTTTGTGCGTACGTTTTCGTGCGGCGCACAGTCCACATTGACAAAAACTGCGGCGCACACGAGCAAATTTTGTCAAATTCAACACAACGCAAATATTGACCAATGTGGATCCGCCTTAAGACGGGAATTAATCAATTTTGTGGATTCGTGGTAAATCGTTATTTTTTTGCTATTTGCCACATGCCACATTAACTACATGCGAAATTAGATCACTGACTATATAGGCGAAAGCCCAAACGTCAAATGAGTATAACTTTTGTTTGAAATGTTATTTTAAAAAACTCTTCGACAATTTTGTTCCTTAACTCATCAAGTATGTACACCACAAATTTGGTGGAATTCTCTCCATTTTCGTTGTCCGGCCAAGAATTGCAGTGGAACTTTTTTTTGAATTTTCATAAACTAATTCCAGATTCGTCGCCCCAAGTAGGGGTGCGTCCTTTTGTGGTAGGAATTTTGAAAATTTTATCTTGCAAATCGGATAGGGCGTACCCGGAAACCTATTCAAAAAGGTGCCGCCCATTTTTGTAACTGTTACGGTTGCTGAGAAAAAAATTAAAGAAGAAATCCAAATTTCACCACTTCTTTGGGGTTGGCACCCAAACGAGACATGTTGGACCCGCGGTTTATTTGGAAAAAGTGCTTGTCTTGATCCTCGCTATCGCCAAATTTTTAATTTACA